AGCATGGCTGGCTGGAGAATTCTGGGAGTTAAGTCCACTCATCTTAAAGTGGCCAAGTTTGGACAACACTGCCCTAGGGAAAAGATTTTCCTGTACAGGGAGCTGCCCTCCGACCATCGCCCCATTTGTTGTCAACTTTCCATGAGCCTCGCTGATAGTTTTTTTTTTCTCCTTTGGCAGCCCAAGCCACTGCAGCTTTCCAAGCCCGCTATTCTGACATATTCCCTACCAAGGTCTGCTTACAACTTAAGATTCGGGAAGTGAGGCAGAAGATTATGCAAGCAGCTACCCCCACAGAGCAAGCCCCCAGCACGCCGGAGCCCGGAGGCCCCCCAGGCCAGGGCAGCACTGCAGAGGGACAGCTGACAGAGTTGAGCTTCCCACAGGACTCAGCACAAGGCACAGAGGCTGCCCCCCCAGCAGCCAGCCCTTCCACTACAGCAGCTGGTTGGGACTGTAACCAGCAGTCTTCTCCAGGGGGGCCCAGTAGCAGCACCACCAGCAGCAGATGAAGGGCACTGAGCAACAAGCAAGACAAGCAGCCTCGTGGAGTGGGGGGAGTCTCGGAGCTTTACCCCCACCCCTGCCCCGCTCCTCACCGGTATCCCTTCCTTTGCTAACCTCACCTGCTCTCTTCTGTGACTGTACGGGAGAAGCATCTGCCCGCAACCTGTAGACACTGCCTGGGCTCCTTTCTTCTTGCAGGCCTCTTCAGCCATTCTAATCTGACAGGGAAGGGCTGTGGACTTCCAGCAGGTCCCTCTGCACCTTCCTCCTCCCAAGAACTCAAGTGGTGGTGCTGACATATCAACCATTCCAGGACACAGGCCAGGAGACCTCTGGGGAGGGGCTGCCAAGGCCTCCCAGGCAAACAAACCCCTGTAAAATGACAGACCTTGTGTTGATTCCCCCATCTCCTTTTAATAATGTTATAAGTATTTGGAGATCCCACCTACTTGTTGCTTCTGTGTCAGTAATTGGGGCAGAGGGGGAGCCTTTCCACCCATCCTTGCAGTGGGAAGAGGGAGGCCTTGCCTCCTAGACAGGTGATTGCTTTGGTCATTTGGAAAGCTGGGTCACTGGAGGAGCAGGAAGAGGGAAGTAGATCCAGACCAAGGCTGGGGTCCGTTGAGTTTTGAGAATAGCGCCTCTTCCTCTGACTTGCAGAGGGAGGAAAGTGGCGTTGTTTGGAGGAGAGACTTTATGTATGGCGCAGCCTAAATCTGGACGGCAGTTAAGAGGGGTCTTGGAGAAAGGGAGCTCGCCTGGCCAGCTCCCCTCCGAGTGTGAGTGCCCTGGTGGCCACAGCCACATGTTGACCATGTGTAACCCCTTCTGTATTGGGGTGGCCCCACCTCACATACTATTAAAGCTCTTTAACAATCTGGTCTGGTTGTAGAATTTCAGTTCATGCTGGTAATCCATTCCTTTTGTGTTCTTTATGTATTTCCTTTGCAGCTGCGCTTTAGGGGTATGGGGCACCTAGTTTCTTCTGCTGTTTTGGCTGGCTCTGCTTTTCTAATCGTTACAGGTGCCAAGATATGCTTGAAATGTTTGGGTAAGGTCTATAGGGTTGGAAACTGGAGAACTTCCTTTGGGCAGATGTTAAGTTTTGGGTGGTGTCGCCTCTTGCTGATTTGCAGCAGCGGTGCAAAAACAATCTGTTCTTCAGGCTTTGAAACAAAACATTATGTTACACGTTTCTACAGCACCACGATGCAGATCTCTAGAGATGTGTTTCCCTAAAATCAAACCCTTCAGCGCATCAATTCGATACAGCTCTTCAGGTTGGAATGCCTTTGCAACCCCCTATTCTGTATTTCCCCCCCACCCTTCCATTTTCAACCAGTGAGGAAAGAAAAATGCTAGATTATCCTCGAGAGAAAACAGAACGACTCAATGCTATCAGTGACAGCTTTTTAGTCAGTCACAAAGTAGTCCACCGTGTACTAGCCCAAGGGTTCTGCAAACCCAGCCAACTGGGTTAATTAAACCCTATTAAGTTAATGTTAAGTGTGTTGTGTGTCTACAGCCACAATGTTCCTACTTTTAGCACTTTCCCCAGAGAAGTGGGATGGGAAATAAATTTATTACTCACGAAGAAGTTAAATTCAGGAGGAAGGGAGGGAAGTGTTACAAGGTTCTGCAACACAGCTGTAAGCTATGTACTACTGTCACTATAAAGGTGGGCTCAGAAAAGCGAAAACAGCCTCCCCCTTTCAACTTCAGGAAGGTAGAAGTAAAGAGGGAGAAATCACTAAAGAATTAAGAAAGGCAGCAACCAGGGAGAAGTTTGCATAGAGCAGGAACAGATGCTCGAAAATGTGGCTTCATGTGCAAATGGTTGCTTGTTGCTTCTGGGAAAACCTCCTATTCCTTGTTTAAGCCAGATGACTACCCAAACATGACAAGAAATGACTCCCATCCCATTAGGGCATTATCAATCCAAAACCCAGTTATACGTAAAGAAACATAGGCTTCTGCCCGTACATTTTAAGCAGTTACTTTTATTACATAAAAATAGACAAGTTCCCATTAACTTGTCTTGTGCCAAACTTTTTGGCAGCTGCAGGTCAACATGCTGTTCATCCCCATCCCTCATAATAATTTTGTACTCTAAACAACCTACACTGAGGCTCATGGAGTTAGCGAACGAGTATCCAGCACCGAATACCAGGCAGATGAAGGCAGAGGACTGCTGTGGGAAACTGCATTTACTGCCCGGAGAGAGTCACCAGCATTCTAGCTTCTAAGCCCCCAGCAGTCACTCAAGCCAATGGAGAGCATCTGGGGCGTGACGGATGGCATCCATCAAGGTGCTTGGGCGTGGCATTCTCCCAGGAGGCACAGCAGCAAGCGGTGCAGTCCGGGGCAGAGTCTGGCATACCCGTTGCGGGTCAGGTGGAGGTAGTCATACATGTCATGATGACTTATAGTCCCATCTGAATGCACAAAGCCTGGGTCAATGTTGAGGAAGGAGGCATTTGGCAGCAGCGGCACCTTGCTCTCAAGCAGTTCGTTCACCCTTCTGTTCTTCTCCCGTAACGGGTTGGGGTTTTTGCCCCGTGGCAACAAGCCCTGTGTGTGAGACAGAGAAGATCCAAGTCAGTGCTCTGCTTCATGCACAGAGTGGTTGGCTTCTAAGCTGATGCAGTGTGTGATGGCCCATCAGCTGGGTTCGATGACCTGGGAAAGTAGGCTTGTTTAGTATGAGCTTCATACATACAGAGCTAGCCTGTATATTGCAAGCCAGACCACTGTGATTTCTTTGGTCAACACGATTCTGGCTTAGTGTTACGGGGCAGCCCGGTAATTCAGCCCACCCTAGGAACGGTGACACTTTTTAAGGCCGTTCTTACCATCACATTGGCCCAGGCTTGGAACTCACCAATACAACCACACGCGCCTGTGGCTGTTGCTGATTGATGACGCACACGATGGATTCTATGCCAGCAGCCACCTGTTCTGCAGTGTGTCCATGGTTATTGGTGCCCACCCAGAGGACCACAATCTACAACCATTGAAAGGAGAAAAAAAATGGTTTCTAAGTTATATGTGTGGGAAGGGATCAAAGAAGCTTGGGTAAAAAGAAGTAATTACTCTAATGACATCAGTGTTTGCACACAGCTACCTATCTTCTAACACCATGAGTGGAACTCTGGATATTGAAACACAACACCGTCTTGTGCACAGAAAATATCTGCTGCTGCAAAAGCGGACATTCCGGGCCTTTATACGGACACAGATAATAAAGAGTCTGAAAAGTAAGGATGAGCTTCCGTTGCAGCCTCAGGACCAGACAGGAAACCTAAGTTAAAGGAGGGTCAATGCAATGCTGCCCTCTGCACGCTCGGGGTTGCGTATTTTCAGGAACCTCCACACAACCCATAGAGGTACTATATAGTATTTTACAGTTGAATGTTTTCAATTTTTTTTAGAAAAAGTATTAGGTCCTTCGCATGCAATCAACCCCAGATAATCTCACGATGTTTGTTCTCCCTAATTGTTAAGCAGAAGAAGAATTAAAGGGGGGGATCTGAATGGGCATATCTTTCCGTTTGGACGCCGTCACAGAATCCTCCTCTTGCCCTTCAATCTCTGATTCCCACGGATGCTTCCATGAAGAAGGAAGTGGTCCCTTCTGATGGAATACATGCGCTGCGTTTCTGACATCTCGGGCTTAAGCCTTGCAGGCCCAGCTTAAAAAAAAATAGGGAGCAGGGCTGAAAAAACGTCTAAGAGCTGTAAGGAGAGAATACCGGGTTTGACGGCTGCTTCATCAGCTTCCAGCCTGTTACCTTGGGACGGATGTGCTGTAATTCCCCATTCTGCAGGCGCCAGAGCACGTGCTGAGTGGCATCGCCCCCCATGCCAAAGTTGAGAGCATGCAAGGGGGAGAAAAGCTCCCTCCAAATCTGGAGGAAAAAGAAAAAGAAAGGCCAATGAGCAGATGATCAAACCTACCTACCCCTCTGGCTTCTTTCAGGCAGTTTCGGCGTTACTTTACCTCAAATTGGTGCAGCAGCTGTACTAGTGAATCCCCAATAAAGACGACCTCGGGCTCCTTGTCTTTACTGTCAGCAATGAAACGGTGGTGCTGCATAAAGTGGAGAAAATAGGAGAAGGGAATAAGGGAGAGAGACTGAGTTTAGGGAAGGGGAAGCAGAGTAGCAGCCCAGGAATTCGGATCTAACACAGAGTTCAGTGGGCCTGGGACGGGAGCTATGACTGCCAACCCCAAGAATTCTGACAGTGACATCCACATTTGGAAAGGGCTGGATTGGGGCAGGCTGGCCTGAAACTCCATAATTTGTGGAGTCCTTGGGGTTCTCTGAGCTTGGTTCTTTTCTTGCAAATGTTTCATTACCCGGCTAGTGCACTGAAGATATTATCTAGCCGGGTAATGAAACGTTTGCAAGAAAAGAACCAAG